CCAGTGTGGCGCTTCCATCCAGCAGGACAACATCAAGGGACTTAAAATCCCCCCCGCCTCTAAGTTTAAGGGACTCATGAACATGAGAAGATGCAGGGGACAGCCCAGAACCGGCTGGAGAATGTTGGCAAAATAGTGATTGTGCTAGAAATATTTCATGGATTTAAACTAATACAGTAAATTGCTTTTTTTTTTCCAGAAACAGTCTGCGAGAAGCCAGGGCAGCGACAGAAGTAGCTGGAGACCTGCAGCAAGAGAGGCTGCAAACACAGCTGGAGAGACCAGCCTGCAATCGCAGGGAAAAGCTCAAGCCTCAGAGGTTCTACGGCCAGCCTGGTTTCTCACACCTCACCCACGTACCTGCTCGGTGGCGTGCATAAAGTAAGCACAGTTGTTCCAGGGGAAGTAAAGATCAGATTTCATCCTTCTCAAAAGCATAAAGGAAACAATGGATCTGCAGGTCAAGATGAAAGCACAGCAACAGGGCCAGAACATCTATTACAGCGCAAAACCTCATACACATACCTATGTATATACAAAGTCAATAGAAAAGAGCTCTAGCTTGCCCTGTAGAGGAAGCCTCCATCATCAAGAGAGCAATTTTATTCTAGGTGGCATACTCCAAAGCGTTTATACTAAATTGCTCATATTCTCTCAGTTCTAGGACCTTGTACTTAAAAAGAAAAACCAGGCTCTGCTACACAGTCATCCTCAGGAGGGAGAAAAAAAGAGGGCACATTAAATTGCTACATGCTACTTTTTCTGCTTTGTAAAAGCAGAAATAAGATCAAGGGAAGCTCAAGGGATGAGCTAGCAACTCTTGGGCACGGAAGGAAGAGGCATTCCTGCAGTATCACAATTATGTCCTTGCAGTGATCTAATATTCTCTGTTAGAGAGAATGAAATCAAGAGAAATCACTGTGTTTAGGGGAGCAGTGGTAGGTCAAATACTTCCCCAGACATGAAAGGAGCAGGAAGGCATGGACGCATCATGTGAGGGCTCTGTTTAACATTCAGCTCTTAGTCAGCATCACGTATGACTAAAATTCTTAAGAAAAGGCCACAGGCATATTTAGCTTCAAAGCTGGTTATTGCTACCTTATATTAATGCTGGTTTTAAAAAAAGAAAATAAAAAAAAAAAAGCAATGCTATCTCCGAGCAAGATATTCTGACTGGGAGTACTTTAAGTGAAAAAAAAAAAAAAAAAAAAAAAAAAAAATTAAAACATTTCAAAACAACATTCATAGTTTTATAGTACCTAAGTCTTACATGTAGTTTAAGAACTAAACCTGAACTGAAAAAACAAAAGAAAATAATCACACGTCATTACCAGCACTGTATGCAGTACTTCCATGACAACAGCCTATACATTTACCTCACAAAATTATAAGCAAGCCAGGCTTGCTTCTTCCTGTCTGAAAAGAGGGGTAACTTGTTAAAATAAAGTCATGAGGTGGCAATGCAATTTTCAAAGAAGAGCTAGCAGCACCCCAGACCATCATTTAAAATAGGGATAGCAGTCTTAAGCTATGACTAACATTTGATGCAGTTCAGGGTTTTATCTTCTTGCCATCCTCAGAGCAAATACTGCAGACATAAAGAAAGAGGCATCCCTGAAAAGAAATCCAATTATTTTGGAGACAGACCTCTTGGTTTGCCTTTTTAAAATTGGCATTTACGTGATCAGCAACAGGCCAAGACTCCCAGCTATCCTCTCCTCCTCCACAGTAAGGGATTCCAGGAGGCACAGGGAAACACTAAGGGGCCACTGCAGCTTCTTTTGAGGATGCTTTTTCTTACTGCTTCTTTTTAGCAATCTGCAGCGTCAGGTGAAACGCAGGCCACCATCTTCTGATGATGTTCCTTCACCAGCACAGGCTTTCAGCACAGGAGGAGACAGCCATTTACCGACTTAGAATTCAGCTGTAATACACACCAAACAGAGAGGCATTCAAGCCCTTTAAAAAATATACCCACAGTGTACTCCACAACACTTAGTGGTAAGAGATTATCCTCCTAAATCTACAGACAGGAAGATAAGCATTTCCATTTTGATGAGGTGCAGGAGCTTAGAGAATCTTACTCACAGCCTCAGACTACGGGGCTGGCTGCAGGTGCTGGGAGTCCAGCCATCCCGTTACCGCTCCGCTGGCTCCTCTGCCTGTCCTGCTCCCAGGCAAACCACAGGCCAACCTCCAGCGCCGTGCCCTGCCGCTCGGCTGGGCTGTGGCTCACTCCTTCATTCCTTACTGGCACAAGCCTTACCTTTGCAGAGGCCTTTACTTCTGGGACTCATCTTGAATCATATCTTCATTTTTACCTGTTCTTTTCTCCCCCCCTCTCTCTCCAGTTCCACACTGTATATAATTCTCTTATACAACTCTTCTGATTTAATTCACTAATACAGAGAAGAGAAAAAAAACTGACTAAAATTGGGTAGTTTTCTTCCCAGATTAGCAAATTTAAGTTGCTGACGGGAGGATGCTACGACCACCTCAATAAATGCAAAGGAGGCAACAAAACCAAGGTGGGAGCAGGCAAGCGGGCTGTGGCTGGCCCTTCCTGCAGCAGTGAGCCAGCAGAGTGCTTCAGCTGCCTGGGAAACTGCAGGCTACTTTGAGACAGAGCCCACAGAACACTAAAAATAAGCTGGACACTTTATATCCATCTTGAACGCAAGGAATCTTTCCAAAACTCTTAAGGAGTTTCACCCTTGCCAGCATCAGACTGCAGCATGTTTCCAAACTGAAGCGTGTTTCCACACTCTGCCCTCCTCCCTCCAATTTAAGTTACTCCATGCCCTGCTGCTCGGCTGGGCTGTGGCTCATTCCTTCATTCTTTACTGGCACAAGCCTTACCTTTGCAGAGGCCTTTACTTCTGGGACTCATCTTGAATCATATCTTCATTTTTACCCGTTCTTTTCTCCCCCCCTCTCTCTCCAGTTCCACACTGTATATAATTCTCTTATACAACTCTTCTGATTTAATTCACTAATACAGAGAAGAGAAAAAAAACTGACTAAAATTGGGTAGTTTTCTTCCCAGATTAGCAAATTTAAGTTGCTGACGGGAGGATGCTACGACCACCTCAATAAATGCAAAGGAGGCAACAAAACCAAGGTGGGAGCAGGCAAGCGGGCTGTGGCTGGCCCTTCCTGCAGCAGTGAGCCAGCAGAGTGCTTCAGCTGCCTGGGAAACTGCAGGCTACTTTGAGACAGAGCCCACAGAACACTAAAAATAAGCTGGACACTTTATATCCATCTTGAACGCAAGGAATCTTTCCAAAACTCTTAAGGAGTTTCACCCTTGCCAGCATCAGACTGCAGCATGTTTCCAAACTGAAGCGTGTTTCCACACTCTGCCCTCCTCCCTCCAATTTAAGTTACCACAACACATTAGCCAAGTACCAAGCCAACAGTAAGTACCTTAAATTACCTGCAGGTTGCTGTAATTACATTGGCCAGATCTATTTGTTTGTTGTTGTTACAACAACAACAACCACCACCACCTGCCCCCACCCCACAATATCAAGACACCTTTGATCCACTGAAAAGGTGAATCATTTTACGCATTACCAAATGAGACAACACCATAGAATGCACATTTAAAAATACCATTTATAAAAAACAGAAATTTATTGTAAATTTAAAAAACAAACTGAGATTAAGTTTCTTGATAAAAATTATTCACGCAGCATTCATGTTGTGATTTTTTATTTTATTTTTGAAATGAAACCATTGTACATTGTACAAACCATAACTACCGATGGAATAAATAAGTGAAAAATTATACTGCTGTACAACACACACACACACAAATCATAAGATGGAAAACGATTAAGTATTGAAGAAAACAAAATTCTTTACACCTTCTACCAGGCCCTTAGATATAAAGAACATTCCAAAACATGACAATGTTATGTATGAAGATAGCCACCCAAAACCAATATTTTATACTGCCTTGTTGAATTTTTTTTTGTTGTTTTGTAAGTGCCAGCACTTTTTGGAATGTTTAACAACTACTTTCCCAAGCATAAAAATTCCAAGGAATAGTTCTGATATAAAATGTTTGGCTGAGTAAATCGCTTATTTGGAAGGCCTTCCCACATGTTCCACAAACTCAGCTAATTTACTTGCGTCTAGTTTCTTTTTTTTTTTTCTTTTTTTTTTCAGCCTTTACTTCTGGGACTCATCTTGAATCATATCTTCATTTTTACCTGTTCTTTTCTCCCCCCCTCTCTCTCCAGTTCCACACTGTATATAATTCTCTTATACAACTCTTCTGATTTAATTCACTAATACAGAGAAGAGAAAAAAAACTGACTAAAATTGGGTAGTTTTCTTCCCAGATTAGCAAATTTAAGTTGCTGACGGGAGGATGCTACGACCACCTCAATAAATGCAAAGGAGGCAACAAAACCAAGGTGGGAGCAGGCAAGCGGGCTGTGGCTGGCCCTTCCTGCAGCAGTGAGCCAGCAGAGTGCTTCAGCTGCCTGGGAAACTGCAGGCTACTTTGAGACAGAGCCCACAGAACACTAAAAATAAGCTGGACACTTTATATCCATCTTGAACGCAAGGAATCTTTCCAAAACTCTTAAGGAGTTTCACCCTTGCCAGCATCAGACTGCAGCATGTTTCCAAACTGAAGCGTGTTTCCACACTCTGCCCTCCTCCCTCCAATTTAAGTTACCACAACACATTAGCCAAGTACCAAGCCAACAGTAAGTACCTTAAATTACCTGCAGGTTGCTGTAATTACATTGGCCAGATCTATTTGTTTGTTGTTGTTACAACAACAACAACCACCACCACCTGCCCCCACCCCACAATATCAAGACACCTTTGATCCACTGAAAAGGTGAATCATTTTACGCATTACCAAATGAGACAACACCATAGAATGCACATTTAAAAATACCATTTATAAAAAACAGAAATTTATTGTAAATTTAAAAAACAAACTGAGATTAAGTTTCTTGATAAAAATTATTCACGCAGCATTCATGTTGTGATTTTTTATTTTATTTTTGAAATGAAACCATTGTACATTGTACAAACCATAACTACCGATGGAATAAATAAGTGAAAAATTATACTGCTGTACAACACACACACACACAAATCATAAGATGGAAAACGATTAAGTATTGAAGAAAACAAAATTCTTTACACCTTCTACCAGGCCCTTAGATATAAAGAACATTCCAAAACATGACAATGTTATGTATGAAGATAGCCACCCAAAACCAATATTTTATACTGCCTTGTTGAATTTTTTTTTGTTGTTTTGTAAGTGCCAGCACTTTTTGGAATGTTTAACAACTACTTTCCCAAGCATAAAAATTCCAAGGAATAGTTCTGCTATAAAATGTTTGGCTGAGTAAATCGCTTATTTGGAAGGCCTTCCCACATGTTCCACAAACTCAGCTAATTTACTTGCGTCTAGTTTCTTTTTTTTTTTTCTTTTTTTTTTCTTTTCCTTTCTTTTTTATTTTTGTATTTATTTGTAACTGAAGCTCCAACATTCAGCATTGTAGCAAGGAAGCACTTCTTGATATTTGCACTATTTCTAAAACATTAGCTGTATGAGAACTTTCAGTCATCTTGAAGAAAACTACATCTCTCCTTCTGCTCCACGTCTCAACGCTTTCAATAAACCCTTTTACAGTGAGTTCATAAAACAAGTTTCTGGTAGAGATAGGTCCAAGCCAAAAAAAGATGGATTTAGATCTGGTTTCAAACCTCAATTCAATGTTCTGGTTTGGTCCCATCTGTACTTTCTGGCATTAAAATGTGTTTAATCACATCCGTTGGCCCATAAATGTTATCAGGCACTTCAAAAAAAGACTAATAACAGTCTTATACACTATTTTGGATTTCTTCATACCAGATAGTGTCAAAGTCTCTTCCCTTAGAGACTGACAATAACAGGTCTAAGGAACCCAAATCTATCTGCTTGTTCAGTTGTCTGTTGTCACTAGAATCTCTGGTTAAAAAAAAAAAGTTCTGAATGTATTCTGTATAAGCTGTAAATAAAGCGTTACTATTTTAGAAATAAAGCCTCTAGGAATATGGTTATGATGCCTTGTCTTGTAAGCCACAGAACAATGAACAGTTCTGAGCAGAAGCCACAGGAGAGAAAAGGAAGTTTATAATTAAACCTGTTGATGTCAATAATGCCAATAAATGCTTCTATCTAATGAAAAATTTGAGGTATTTTTAGTGCTATTTATATATTTTATTTCTTCCTAAAGTACAGGAATTAGTTTCTAAACGAAAAGTCTATTTACTCCCTTGGAAATGTCTACAAAATTAAAATTAAAAACTTGCTGTGATGCACCTGAAGATAGGGATTAGTAAACATGACTACTTGTCAAAGGTGGCATCAGATTTGTTTTGTTTAAGCATTAAAAACAAGAAAAAGTTAGTAAATCAAAAATATTTTTAAGTTTGAATCTTTCTAAATTTGCCCGTTTAATATATCAATAGAACTTCTCACAAAATATCACTTAAATCTGAATGTAATATACATACAAATCAATCATCATTGACCAGTTATCCACATTTTAGGCATACACACAATTCAAGAGAGAATTCTACCGTTTCATTGCATATATTGTGCAAATACAGTTTTTGGCTCCTCATTTCCTTATTTTCAGAATGTTAATGGACTTCATGATCAAACCAGAAATCCCAAAAAAACTTATTAGGGAGCACACTGTTTTCATTAATGATTTGCAATCAAATTTTATTCAGTTAAAATCCAAAAAGTTTTATTTCAACATAAAGGAAAAGTTCCGAAAGTGAGAGTGTCATATGTTACTTGGAGTTCAATCCTACAAACATCTTCTGGAAGGTCAGTATTGGCTCCCCACTCCTCCCTCCCTCCTCTCCCCCCCCAGCCCCTCCATTTCCCCATTGTTTTTTCATAACAAAGTGGTAATTGCAAATGCAATGCAGTAGTCTAAGTGCAAGCCATTTTCACTATTGGAGAATTCAGAAATAAATAAGCTTCATGAAGAGCTAATTATGAAAATGTTTCAACTGGAAGCAATTTATTTCTTTTTTTTTAATTTAAAAAAGTATTTACAGTTCCTAGCTTACAAACTATATGCAACCATTTTCATAGCTGTGAGATCGTATTTTAAATTACAAGTTCCATCTCCCCCACAAGGCGAAGAAAGGCTACGGGCCTGACCCAGAAACACGCAGGTCCCACCGACAGCAGGTAATTCCTAACTGGGAGCTCGCCCTGGAAGTACAAAGCCCACTGGAAGATCAGGCCCTCGTGACCTGGTATCAGTGGATGCTTCTGCACTTCTCCGTGCCAGGAATTTGAAGGGAGTTGCACATACTTTAGTGCCTTTCAATCAACTTTAGCGTAAGCACATTTCAACATAATTGGAAAAGAAGGAACGCTTCTAACAATGATGTAGGGACGATGGAAACAACAAGGCTTATTTACAAGACTTGCTGAAAGAAAAAAAAAAGAGAAATCCCAAATACAGTATTAACCTGGAACACAGAAGTAAACATCTTATAAACAGTACAATGAAATCCAGTTCAGTGAAAACATGATATCAAAAAAGACCAATTGAAAATAAATTCATTGTGCATCAATCCCTTTGATCCTATTTATGTACATAGTGGAACTTTTCTGTAAAGCAAGTTGTACCCAGTACAGAGATCTGGACCTAATACGTAAGTATTTTAACTGCTGTGTTATAGTATATATTCAGATCTGGACTATAAATGGTAAACAGATCATGTTAACTTCTGATGAAGTTAAGTATTTAGAAGACCAAATTTACAGTTGCGAATGCCATGCATTCAATAAAAGATCTCCACTATAGCTGCTAAAATAAAATATCAAGCTCCTTTTTCTCCTTGGACTCCAAGAGTGAAAATGGCTTCCTGATCTGTATTTGTTAAAAATTTAAGCACCAGGGATTTAAAAATCAAAAACAAAACAAAAACCCCAAACAAAAAAAAAAAGGAAAGAAAATAAAAAGCAAAAGCCTTACTACATGGCATTATACAAACATAGGCCACTTTGCAAAGGAGACAGTTGCAAAACAACTTTTAAAAGTTAGCACTGTTTTCAGAACACAAGGCACAAAACAAAAGCAGACATCACGCCAGAACAATGAACTTCACATGAAAGCTAATACCTGACCTGTACCATCCTTAAATATCTTACAATGTTAAATAGAGAAATGAAAAAAAAAAAAAAATACAGCAGCAACATAATTGTAATTTTGACTTTAGAAACAGTGCGTAGACCCCTCCTGAGTTGTTTACTCCAACCATTTCAGAGACAGTAACTTAAAAGTTCTCAATGTTTGTTTCACAGGAAAAAGTTTTCAGTGTCTGAGAAGTTAAACCTTTGTTAGGCTTTCTTGGATTTTTGCTTGGTAACTTGAAAAGTTAGGAGTTCTGTCCTCATCCAAGAGAAGATGCTTAAGTAAGGTTGTTCTATAATTAAGCCCACTGATGTACCTTACATAAAAACTGACCAGAAAAATCTATAGTCTAAATCTCTTCAACATTTTGTTGGGAAGCCTCTACTTTCATCTTTTTAGAAGGTGGCACTCCTTCAGAGTCCTTAATGGAGGGGGAAAAAGAAAAACAACCACGTTATCATTGCACTGAATTTCAGACGCCATAAACATCAAACAAAAAGCATGAACAAATTCCCTGGTGTCTCAACTTGTAAAATACAAAGCAACCCTGGACGTGAGAATGACGTGACCAAGCGCATTTGCTTCTTGAAATCATTCCTCCATTTCCATCTTACCTCAACACCTTTACACGCGTTGTCGTCTACTGACAAAGGGTAAAAATTCTAGTTCCGGGCTAAAAATCACAGTGAATATTCCAAGCAACAGCCTTGATGCATAGTTATTCATGGAATCGCCCAGCTCCACACTCGAGCACAACCTGCACTGAGTGCCCATGCGTTTTCTCCTGCTGTAGCCAAAGCAATCTCTACAGAACAGAACACGCAGGGTTTGGAAAGCGCAAAGTGTGCACTGAAACAAACCACCCACCCGCAAGGAAAACCAAGGGACAGAGCAGTGCCCTGCCCGAGGAACTCGGTGTGAGGGGACAACTACAAGGATAATTTCTTCCTCCCACCCACCCAGAATTTTTCAGTTTACCAGCGAGTAAATATCCAAACATCTCGTCCAATGAATCTACAAAAAATAACTTTCCTAACTGCATTTACTTTTATAGAAGGTATTTTACTTCTGAATGGTCCTCAAAGGGGCCTGTCCAGTAGGTTAGGTCCAAGCAATATATTAACATGAAATTTTAATATTCCCTTACAAAATTAACAGGCTGGTTTAGAAAACTGAAAAGTAAATCAGGTAAGTCTGGTCTTACTGTTCAGATTATGTGAAATGCAAGAAACCAATCAAATTAACCACAAAACAAGATACAGGTACATATCATAATCTATAGCTACTTTACTGTCATCAGCTTTGGAAATGAGTCTAAACACACAACCGGCCTCCTTACATTTGCTTTTTGGTAAAAATACTCTTTTCCAAATTCCAAGTAATTGGGCTTTTACACTTAAAGTTACCTGAGAGTTTTTAGATGCCTCTGTAATTATATCGTTTTCTCCAGAGGACTGAATTTCTGCTTTCTCTGAACTATTCATGGAATTTTCCATTGAAGACTGTGAATTCTGTTCATCGGAGGTATCTGAAACGTCAAGAAATAATTTTAAACAAACGAGTGAAAGCACTCAGCAGGAGCTTTTACCGTGTCTTCTCATTAGCAAGAATATCCCATAAATAAGCATAAACTTCACCCAGAGTTGCTGGGCTCAGTCCCTAGAGGGAGCTACGCTCCCGCACACGCTGGGACTCGGGACTGTGTCAAAGCTGCTGGCAAACAAATTTCAACAAACTTTGCAATCAGGCTGATCCGCAAGGAAACTCACTGCAAATCAGAAATAAAAGGCTGCTACAAAAAGGGCTGAATTGTGATAACTAATGGATCTAAAACTCTGTAGCTAAGGAGAGAGAATAATGTTATCTGAATCAAAATTCAGCCATATATTTATAATCTACTTTTTTGCTTGATACTAAATTTTCAAGATTAAATTTAAACTTTCCTTACCATTAAGGATGTAGAATTTTTAATTCTGGTGCACACTTACTAAATTTAGACTTTCTTTACCATTAAGGCTGTAGAATTTTTAATTCTGGTGCACACTTACAGAGAAGTCTTCCAGCTTGTTATAGCCCTTACCTGCTTACAATTTTTGTGGTTTTGGTGTTTGGTTTTGTTGTTTTTTGTTGTGGGTTTTTATTGTTGGGGGTTTTTTTCCCAAAAACCCTTCTCCCTTTCTCAAAGCAAGACTTACAGAGGACTCAGGGTTAATTCACCCATTCACTTGAAGAGGGGATAGGGACACTTAAAATGTCTTTACAGGTTAAAAATGCCTGGAAGTTTAACACAGTATGTCTAGAAGCAGAGACTCAACAACAAATAAACCACCCAAACCCCTCTGTTTACAAAAGGCCAGGTATATTTATTTCAGTATCCACATCAACACAGTGTAAGGACTGGAACCCATTCTTTCCTTCACCTCGTTTAAAAATCCTTTTTGACTTGAATGAATTCTCAGAAGTATGCATGGAGTCAAGTTTTATAAAGTCATCTCACCACAGGTCCCTGACCCAAGAAACATATAAATTTATTCTAGATGAAGAGAAATGCAAGATCAAAAAAATTTTTGGATTACTTTGATTAATGAAGATGACATAACCAGTGAGTAACGGATGTTTTTGTGGTGCACTGTACAAAAAGCATCACAAGACCAAGCTGAAAGTTTCTGACTGAATTCAAGATAAAGTGACGCCTCTGATGAGCGGTCTCAAAGATCATATTCAGCAAAGTCAGACAGAATCATCTTCCTTTCCATGTCTCACCAGAAAAGCATGTTCAAACTGATAAAGAAACAAGTCCCAAGGGTCAGAAGGAACTTCAATTTCAATTTCTGCCCTGTATGTCTCAGTATACATTGCAACTTGAGCTCACACTGTGTGATGTGCCCATCTCCACACAACAAAATCACATCTAGAGCAATATCCACAGGGGACAGTTCACAGCTGCTGTCTTCTCTTCCAGGTGCTGCTGACAACTACTGGTCATTCAATGCCTGCAAGGACTTGTTTGCACAGCAAACTGCCCCCTGAATGCACCTGTTTTGTTTGAAGAAGTCCACACTAGGCATTCCTGACCACCCAAACTGTCCCCAAGCTTTAAGGAACCTCCCTGATTTCAGCCCAGGAACATGGGATAGACCTACAAGGTCATTAACCCTATCCAGCTGAATAATGTCACAGTTCCAGCAGTTTGGTTGATCCTAACACTTTGGTAGATAAATAGTTATTTACTAGATTTTTAAACACAGCATATAACCAATAGAAAAAAAAATACATTAATAATGGGTATTTTTTGTCATTACTTCTCCCTTTCATTTTACAGTAACTGTCTCTGGAACGAATCCAGAGAACTTGGTACGATTTCCCCCGAACCTAAATTTAGTCAGGGAGCACGTATGCTATGTAACAACTTCACACAAGCAGGTTCAGGCAATATTAGACCTAGGAGTAAATTCCTTACCGTAATACATTAATAACGGGTATTTTTTGTCATTAATTCTCCCTTTCATTTTACAGTAACTGTCTCTGGAACGAATCCAGAGAACTTGGTACGATTTCCCCCGAACCTAAATTTAGTCAGGGAGCACGTATGCTATGTAACAACTTCACACAAGCAGGTTCAGGCAATATTAGACCTAGGAGTAAATTCCTTACCGTTTTACCATTACCAAACATGCTAGTTGAGACTTTTTTCTTTGAAGGATATGGCACTCTGATTTATTCCAATTTGGTAATGATTCAGTTGAACAATGACAACATTTAACATACTTAACCATTCTGACATTACCAAGATAAAGGCTCTAAATTTAAATTGGTTACTGGATCTACTGAGCTAAGAACTAAATCAGGAGGGCATAATTTAATTGCTTTGCTATGGGAAGAATTCTGCAACCAATTCATTAGAATGGTGTTAAGGACATCTTTTATCTGTTATAATAGGATGAAGAAAGTTATCTTCACAAGAATAGAGAGTATGTTTCAATTACCCAAAATACCATTTTAAAAGCAAGGTTCAGAACAATCTCTTAACCCACATGTATTTTTAATCTGCGTGCAACTGCAGTACAATATTGTAACACTTTTAGAAAATTAGGCACAGAATTCAGAGCTAACTTTTGAATAAGTAACTAGCAGGGGTAAGAAAAAATAAAGCTTACATTATAGTTTACACAACTAAAAAAAATTTCAAAGCATCTCACCTCTATTTTACTTTACACTAGATAATGAATGTTCACGCATCTACAAAAGTACTACTTTCCAGGATTTGTATGATTACATGGCAGCAACCATTTTAAAGATGATTTTAAATTATTTCTTCTTTCAAGACTGAGATTTTGACAACAATAAGACACATATTTTGTTTATTTCCTCTCTGAAAAGACTCTGAATGTCAATCTGACCTTTCCAGTTGTATGGAAAGATCACCAGCAGGCCAGAGATTATGGGCATTTTCACCATTTCTTTCAAATTGTTATTATTCAGTTCTTAAAATGGATAAGCAAATAAATGATACACTAAAGGATAACATTTTTTATTTGGCTTTGAAGATGGGTCTTTTCAACTTACCTTCTGAACCAGGCTGCTCCTTTGCTTCTGTCTGAGTTTCGTCAGACTTTACTTCAGTGCCGTCTGCTTGTGTCACCAAGTTCTGTTCTGGTGCTGGACTTGAATTACTACTGTTTTCTTGTTTTATTGGAGAAGCATCAGCTATTGAACTCTGGTTGCTATTGTCATCTGTTAACAAAAAGAGTTAAAATCAAGAAAGTCTAATTTGACAAGATAAACACACCTTATTTCTTCCATAGTTTTCCTGTATCATTTCCTAATAACGGCTTGTTGGGCATCAAGTCCAAGCATTTACACTAATATTACATGTAACTTTTTTTTTTCCCAAACCACAACAAATTTTGATCTTGCAGGCTATGTTGTAATACAGGAGTTTTCAAGCACTTACTAAAAATCAGAAAACTTGAAAAAAGGTGCTCTAACATTATACAATAAAATCTAGAGTGTTTTACTCAAATCTCTTCCAAAAAACCCAGAATTTTGCAACATGAGTAAAACAGATCAAACAAAGTGTCAGTTTCATCTTATAGTTCATATAACACTGGGGTAATTTAGTGTTCAGGCTGCAAATTTACAAATACCCATCACTACAGTGTTCAGATGAGCAGGTAGTTTTGAAGTGTGTCCTGAAGCTCAAAAAAACCTCCCCCAAAAAATTCTCTCAAGGTAAAATGTTTCATCCAGTCCCAGTATCAATAGTTTCTAAGCGATAATTATGCAGAATATTCTCTTAGCCTCCAAAAACTTGGATCACAGTAACTTTCTGCAGTACAGATTGTGTCTTTGTAGTTAACAAGAAATATTCTGCCTGTACTTTCTTCCTCTGAAAACCAGTGACAGTGGTTTAAGTATCTCAGCTAATACTTTATATATTTTTAAGCCAGTCTAACAAACATGGGTAGCCAAGAGGGAAGCTCTTGCTCCTCAAAGAAAATTAACCCAGCAAAACATTATTAGTTAAATTACTAGCATGGAAGTTGATTGAACTCATTACATCCAAAGGACTTCAGAAACACATAGGACCATCTCTTTTCAGAGCAGCTTGAAATCAGCTTATTGTGAATTCATACAGTATGGCTTAAAAACACAAGTGATATATGATAAAAAAACAAGTAGTATATTCACCCCACGGATGGGAGAAACAAGACTTAAGAAAACTAAACGATCTGACCAAGGCAAAAGCTCAGAAGTTTGAAACAGATGAAAAATTAATTCAGATCTGTGAAAAATCCTGCTCAATCATTTAATTGCAAGATCGTACTTGCTGTGAACACTGCAAAAACCAACCAGGAGGCGAAAGAAATGCAAATAAAACTGAAATGAAAAATTTACAGCCCACTAAAAAGTGATCTGCTCTTATCAACTCAAGTAGGTGCTGCATTCTCAGCCATAATTGTTATCCAAACACCTAGAAGGTAAAAAATTTAAACAGCTGAGCTCTGAAAGCTCCTCTGTAATAAACACCAGGTTAATGCTCAACAGTTCACACTTTAAAAAAAATGACCTCGTAGTGCCCGAAGACGCCACAGAACCACAGCTTGCTTTCTTGACTCTTGCAGAATTCTTTTGATCTGAATGACCTACCAAACCAAAAAGTCCAAAACCTGCACAAATTGTAGTAGGTGCCACTGAGACTTTGGGGCTTTGGTTCTCCAAGCAGCAAACTCGGCAGTTACTACTTCACCTGAGGATAGTATTTTGAATGGCAGATATTTCTATTTTTATTTTCATATTTAGCTCCACTAACAATTGTTTCCCCAACAACAATTGTTAGTACATCCACAGAAGAGAACAAAATGAGTCTTTGATCCTCTTTTCACTTTGACTCAATCACGCTGTCCATACATCTGAGCAATGGAAAAATTTGACACTGTGAGCTTATAGTTTCACAGCGGTGTAACAGGGTAATTGGGGCTGACCTTCTCCCACTCACCGTGCATGTCCATCATCCCTGGAGAGGAGCTGTTCTCCGGAGTGGTCACTTCAGAGCCACATTTTTCATCTTTGCCTTTTTTCTTATTCTTATTTTTCTGAAAAACAAGAAATACCACAAACAAATGAGACTATCACTGTGAAGAGAAATCCACGTTGCAATATAATACCCTTCCCATTCATTACTTCTGTAAACATCTCTCAATTTCAAGTGAGAAATAAAGCCAACGTAACAATAACTGACATTATCAATAATGCATTAGTCCCAATAACTGCAGGGCTGTTTTTCTAATTGTATTCTTCATGACACAAAATACTGGGATATAAAGGTTTTTATCCAAAAATTCTAGTAACAGTTAGCACTTAATTACGTTTTTCATCTTTAAACAACTGCATAATTTTTGTAACAAGTACAAAGTTCCCAATAATACCCTTCATTCTACAAACAGGGAATCTGAGGCACAACAACTAAACGGTTTGCTGAAACTGAGTCGGAAAACTTGGGAGATGCTGGCTGCTAACTTTGTACTCCATCCAAAGAGCTGCAAAACCAAGGTCAAAAGAATCTCTGCTACACCAGGGAAAGGGAAGAACAGCGCTGATCAGAGGCAGAGCTAAGATTCATGAAACTACCCTATTTTTGAGCTCGTAACTCTGCTCACTGTATGGTTTATGCATATCAACACACCGCTACAAAACTCAATACATTCTCCCTTTCATATCAGAAAGTTTGTAGGATACACTTAGACAATATGCATGCATGCACAACAGGAATGATAACAGATCTAGAATTTTAACACTAAAGAGACAGCTTTTTACCTCTTTCTCAATGACCAACACTGCAGAGACCTCCTCCTTCTCTACAACTAATGCTGTTTCTTCATTAAAACTAAAAGATGGATTAAGAAAAATCAGATTGGCCTAAAACAAAGAGCATAAGCAAGACAGTCCTACATGAACAATAGGTCACAACATGCTCATGACCAAACAACAGTATGGACTGCAAGCATTAAAACAAAGGAAGAGACAGTAGCATCCATCACGTGGAAAATCTGCGTCTGCTAAGGGATGCAGCATTTTCAATTAAGAGGTGACGTAATGAGTCTCACAGGAGAAAGAGCCAGCTGCACTGCTTTTGGAGCATCCTGCGTGCCTGCTGAGAAGACAATTAAAAGCCTGACTCTAGGAAGAACGCTCGGCAACCCATCCATTGGGATAAGACGGTGTCCTCCAACAAGGGAAGGAACTAAAAACCACAAATATCGTCTAAGACTGAAGAAGAAATTCAACAAGTGATAAGTGGAAGGACTTTTCCATCTATTTTAAACAGATTATTAGGCTTAATTTTAAATTGTATTTTTACTTCAGAGAAGCCAGATTTTATTCCCTAATACATAGCGAAGCAGAGGTGAAAGCACATGGACTTTTTTACCTTTGCAAAATGAAAGTTTGGGGGGGACATAATCTGTCAGGTTTGGTGTTGTTTTTTTTTAAAAGGTAAAAAGGACACTTTTCCCACAGAAGAAATATTGAAAATTGTCTGTAAGCAATTTAAGCCGAAAAGGTTTTTTTTTAAACAGGTTTAACCATCAAAGCAGTGAGGTTCTACAACAGCCTTCCAAAACTAGTAGGAGGAAAGAGCCTGGCTAATTCTAGTTCAAAGAAATGTCAAAGGGTCTTTGGAACAACACGTGAGGGGGGAAGTAATCTAATCTGTGTTCACTAAAATCAAAGACAACTTCCATTTGAAACATGAAGCAGTAAAAAAGATCCCATTCTGCTCTTCTAGTGAAAAGCAAATATACCGTCTGCTCCTTCACAGGTGGATGAAATTGGATATAGAAGGATGCCCACAACAAAATTAAATAGCCAAGATGACCCCTGCCTGATATTTATTTTTAAAAATATATGTGGTTAAGTTTTAATTGTGAGAATTTCCAGAGCAAAAAGAGAGAAGCCTTACGACATCAAGCCTGCAACAACTGCAGCTGCACAACGGCCTCTACTTGTAATGAACAGAATGTTACTGTAGGACACTAAAGTAACTGGCCTTCCACAAGTGTCCCAATTTCAGCAAATCTGCAGCCTAAACCTGAAGATGATGGCTCAAAGAATATAATTAAACTCTGCACATAGAGACTGTTACATAAACCCATTCTTCTTAACATAGAGTCTAACTTCAAGTACCAATCACCTTGAAAATTCATCCAGAAACTCACTAGAAATTCTATTTCAAAGTTGGGTGGTACCTATCATGCAGGCTTAACTGTGTGAAAACAATTTTCAGAAGTGTGAGCCTAAATACCCTCAATCTCTCTCTCCCTCACAAACATAGATAGCACAGCTTTTTCCCCCTAGTATTACAAATAATAAAATCAAGACCAAACATTTGACAACTAGAAAGAATGAACAAGTTTCTGGAAAGAAACCAGGGAAGGTTTCCCCATTCACAAGGGGTTACTTCACAGAGATGCTGCTCAAGCACTGGAAGAATACAAGAGGCTTACCACAACTCCGAGAGTCATGGAAATCTGTGGCACAACCAAAGGTACAGAAATAAACAAACTCAGTCAAAACAACACTGATCCAAAGTAGGCCTTGAATTTGGACTTTGAATAAGACAAGATCATGGTATCGTCTTGCCTGAAAAACCATAATTTTACACATTTACTAACATAGTAGTTTTCTTCCAGGTAGGTCTTAACTCATATTTCAAATAAAGTAAAAGCAAATGACAGCCAAGGAAGGAGTACCAAACTTGGGATATATATTCATCGTATCATTAATTTACACGGTACCATGGATTAGTTTTTATTACAATATTTTATTTTATAAAATGAGAGCAACGTTCATTTTGAAAAACAATTTGTAAGCCCTATGAGCTTTGATTTTTACACTTATTTTTATGCCAAATGATTGTATCGTGGCACATGAACAGTGCACACTAAGAACGTAAACATGATTCATACACAAAACATTTATCAAGAGAAAACACACATTACAACAGAAGCATGTCTGCTGTATCGCTTGGGCTGGACATCTTAATACAAATGATCTCAGTTCCACAGGATTTTTCTACCCTTACTTCAGTGTTTTGCATGTATATTTGAGCAAAACAGCAGCGATGCACAGATAGAATACATTCTCCACACAGTTCCAAACCAACTACTTTCCTTTAAAGCATCAGGCAGAAAGAGGGGAAAAGTAATCGATGTTTCAGTTTTCCCTCCCCACCTCCCAATTATTATGTTACCAAAAGGTTTCAAAAACCAGTTTCAAGCCGATTGTTTAACAGTTATCTGAGAATCGATCCAAGTCGACTCTGGGAAGGCTGCCACCCACTGAACCATCAGCATCACTTTCTGTAGAGATCAGCACCTCCCTAGAGCTCTTCTAGTCAAATGGCTGCAAGACCCACACCAGTTGTAGCTTAAAGGCTCAAAGAATAACAATTATATTCCCTCAACACCATGTTTCCCTGAACATCTTGAAAAAAAGCAAGACATTTGCAGGATACTTACATCATCGACTTTAGGCTCTGTTACTGGTACCCATTTGTAAATCCTTAGGGATGTGTCACCAACTGTCACCCACTTCTTCTCCCTATAAAATTACAACGCAGGAGAAGTTAAAGTTAAACTTTAGATTCAAAAGAAAGCGATCTACTATTGTAAGTTGTCAAGGATTTAAATAGGCTATTAAGTAGGATGATCTCTATTACATCGTCTTTAGTACTGCATTGTGCAAATTGTTCTTTGCATTTCACAAACTTGTTAGAGCACTGCTAACCTCCAGATTTCTCAGGGCTGTTACTTGACTAGGTAGCAGTAATAAGATCTGGATTAAAGGTACAGTTAAGAACAGCTATTGAAAATGCAGATTTAATGCCTACAATTTTCACTTAAGTTTCTAGAGAGCAGAAGAGGTTTTAGACAAACCAGCGTGTTTTGATTGTCATGAAGCTGTTTAATGGTATCAGAAATCTAAATGCATTTTGACCATCTGAGGTTTATTTTTGGGTAGAAATTTGCTGCTAGCAATTTAACATTCACTCAACACTCCTGTCAGACAGCTCTGAAATTCCAGCCTTGGAACCAAGAGCCTTACTGGTAGCAATATGTGCCGTGATGCAGAATTCAGACTCTGGAGAGCCCAGCTCTCTTGGAAAGGAAAGGCTGAGGCTATCAGAAAGGGGAAAAGCATAACCTAGGGCACTGTGTGCAGACCCCCGCCAGCCAGCCGTGCCGTTGTGACATTGACAAATTGTGAAGGAAATCTGGCCGGAGGGCGTCACTACATTAGGGGGTCACACAGTCACAGAGCGCAGAGATGGAAAGGATGCTGAACGCTTAGTTAAGGGATGAATTCCTGGAGCTCTCTTTACAGCAGAATATTAAAAGAAGGTCCACAATGCCAGAGAAATTTCATCACATTTCTGTGATCAAGTTTTCAGGTCACAGATCACCACTGCTGGTTCTTGGGTTTGTAATACAGCTCTGCAAATGGATCGATTAAAAGTTAACAACAAAGACCAATGCCATTAAATATTCAGGAACATCTGAAATTAATTTGGCATGAGATCTCAAGCATTTTTCTTTTTTAAAGACACATTTAAACAATAGATTTGGGATCCAGTTAAGAGATTTTTTTTTTTTTATTAAAAATGTTCTTTGCAGGATGGGAGAAGCTGGATGTGACTCCAAATATATAGATGTGTGATAGCTCCATTTTTAGAAAGGGCTTCCAGAATCAAAAGCAGCCACATTGTACGAATGCCACAAACATCCTCCTGACTATTTGTTTTAGCTATTAAAGCCAATCTTATTTGTTTCTCTTTAGAGGAAACACTTTCCTGTTTGGTTTTTTTTTTTTTAAAAAAAAAAGCAGTTTGATAAATTTTGGATCTGTCCACAAGGATATTTTAATTAAAGTACAAAACTATTTCAGATTTATTTCTTTTCCACTGTTCTTCCTGGAGCACAGTTTTTCCTCAATGTGTTTAGATACATCCGTTTGGGTTCACTAGATGGCTAGATGTCAAAACCCAATGTTACACTAATGTGGAGCTTTACTGCTAGATGTGATAAAAATGACAGTGGAGATGAGGGCATGTCAATAATGAGAGCATACTTAATTGTGAAGAGATGACCATGATATAATTTATTTTTTTTAAAGGATACAACACAAACTAAACTTATTTCTACTTTGGAAAACCTTTGAAATTATTATGGAAATAAAACCAGCTGGGGTTTTGTTTTGGGGTGTAGGGAGAGGTGAATAAATGCTTTAAAAAAAAATAATCAAGATTTTAGTCTTTTCCTACAGCAAAATATTACTTAGAGATGCTGCACTGGAAAACCAAAAGTTCAAGATACCTGTTAGCATCTCAAAGCAGCCTCACACAGCATCTTCACTGGACAGACTGTAGAACACAGGAGGAAACCTATATTAGTAACTTTTTCCTTCTAGTATTAAAGTTAGCCCTGACATTTTAATTCTTTTGAGCTTCTTAAGTACCACTTTAAGATTTGATAACCCTCAACTACAGGGATTTTTTCACTGAATTCAACACATAGTCATTCAGACAACAATGGGAATAAGGATATTTTGTGATGGAAGTACACCAACATCCCAGTCCTGCAAACACTTATGGCTAAAAAGAAAACCCAACAACACACTGCTATTATTCAAATATTTCACATGTGTTAAGCATTTACAATATTGAAGGTTTAAGATCATAAAAGTATTAAAAAACACAACAACCTCCCCTAAAGTTAGTAAAATCATTGGCAGCACAAACACAAATTTGTTAACAAAGAAACATAATGACTTTCAGACATTTAAGATCAACAGGGTAGAATAACTGGAGGATTTAAGATGTTTATTGCAAATAAAGCTTTGAATATTATCTGCAATACTTACTGCCTTTCAATTTTAAACCAAAACTCAAATCCAACAAACAAAAGAAATCCCCAAACCCACAAAACCACTTCTAGTCTCAACACTCACTTTTTTTTTTTGTTGAAAGACACCATCCCAACCCACTGAGATCAGGGGCTTTCCATTTAGAATTGACAATTTACTGATGCTGCCCATAACAATACATTAGCTAAATGCTGTAAAAACTACAAAATATTCCTGCTGACCAAATGCCAAAGTAGGAAAGAGGAATTAGTGAACTCTTGTGCCCATTCTGTTGTGAAATCTTACGTAGTTTTCTCCACGTTTTCCTGCCTGTGAAGTGGATCTGCTGCTGAACCCACTCGTCCTGAGACCCCAACTGGGATTCCACCCCTGCACCTCTACTCCACCTTTGTTCAGTGATCACTAGGCAGTAATTTTTATTGCCCTGTCCCCTGTTATACTATATAGGCTGATCTATATGTTGGTGGATTGGAAAAGGTGGTTGATGGTGCACCATCAAATTGAGAGTTAATTGGGCTAAAAAGGAGCCAATTGTCAACTTTACTTGCCCATGTCTGGCCGACAAATTCCATAGCTTTACAAAAAAAGCACTTTTTCTGGTTTTAAACCTCTCCTGCTCCCCAATGAATGACTCAGGAGTAACAACACTGGAAAATGACAAAACTTAAAATATATACAAGAATGGTTTTTTCATCTCATCTTCCACGCTAAAAAATTTCTTAAATATGTTAGTTACAGTAAATTCAGAAACTAACCAATGCAACAGAAACAAACCCTTACGTTTATCTGAAACCGTGTTAAAGCATTTTTAAATTCTGAACCACATCTGCACAGCATTTAAAGGACAGCCAAGGATACGTTGGGTAAGCATTAGTATCAACACTTCCTTTATTGCTTATGCCTGAGGCATACTAATATCCTAGAACTTCCACAATTATATACTCAATTCCCCATTCTAAATAGCCCAAGACTCTTAAATATATTTATTTTTTGTCTATTAACACTAAAGCTCCAAAGATGACTATCAAATTCCACGTATAAAAGTAATATACCGGTGAGCAAAAGCAACAGTGTATATTACACTTATACATAAAGTGTCAAGGCAGCTTCTGCAGCAGCAATGAGTGCTAGAAACATTTGATGGCACAGAAACAGAAAGCCTTTACTGCCAATATATTACCATTCAAGAAAAGGCTTTCACACTTGTTTGGCTTTTTACCGAGACTGTCATTTATCATAGTGATCTGTATTTACACAAGGATTTACACCCACATACCCCATCTTCTGTTGATGATCACGAAGTGACGTCATAATGCTGAATTTATCACATCACACTCACTTGCATTGCAACAGAGTTTGGTGAAAATCACAGAATTATGACCTCCCTGTGGGATCAAGCAAAGGAGAAAGGGGAATGGGAAAGAAAATGCCATTATTATACACAAAAAGTGCTGAAAAGTGCACAAAAAAAAGATTTTTTTGAAATGCAGGCTTGCTTTTCAAAGCATGCCTATTGCTATGTAGATGTTTGTCTAGTGACTAACGTAGAGTAGCACCAAATATACATGGTGTTTCTTGACCACACTGCAAATACAATAAAATACCATGTAGTACAAATGGGCAAAGACTAACCGTTAAGGACACCTTCTCTCTTGAGTTTCTATAAATATGGTGCATTATGAGAGCCCCTTTTAACTTACACAGGCCAACATGTTTTTAAGCAAGTTCTGCTACATTCCACGTTGCAGCAAGCACCTTTTCCTACAGTAAAGGGAAATATGGCTCACGCATGACAAAACTCTACCTTTTACACTGACTTCTAAGTCAGAGAGCATACCCTGGCTCAAAAAGAAATGATCATCAGTAGGAAAAACTGATCGCAATTCAAGCATGATAACAGCGTGTTTGGGCCATTACGGTACTTCAGAACAGCTCCTAAACACACACTGGGTATTTTTAGTTCAACTGCCACTACTTGAACTTCAGTCTTTGCAGGAAACCAAACACAGCCAATGGAGCCAGACCGAACGAGGGTGGCAATCTGGTAGTAGCAGTCCTTTTCCAAAGACATCGTGTTAAGAAAGTCTATGTCATAACGACTTTTCAGAGTAAGAGCCTATTTTAAGAAGGAAGCATGAGCAGCAAAACCTGCAGAAGCTCAACCTCAGAGCATTACATACCACACAAAAATATTTCAGCAAGTCCGAATGCAGACAGCGAACAGAAAAGCTACAGCAGCATTGTCAGAAATTCTCCTCTAAGTAGCCACAGCTAGTGATCCCAACGAATGGGAACCCAACCCAACCAACACTGCCCATGGCGACTTCGCTCCTCAACTTCTCAGGCTTTGAGAAGCTACAATTCAAGTCATATCTGGCTCTACAGCCAATTCCCTGCCAGAACAAATACTTGGCGCTTTCTCTCATTGCTTTCATCAGCTGCCAAGCTTCACCTCTTCTTCTTAAGGTGCTATCGCTAGATTAGGGCTTTGATGGGTCAGAAAGAGGCCAAAGGACTTCTGCAAAGATACTGCAATTCAAAGAGAAGGCAACACAATGAGATTTCCTCATTCCTGGTGCGTTCTGTGTATCAGAGTACCTATCCCCATCAGCCACACCACAGCTCCATCCTTAACATTTGCATAGTTGCCCAAAAGCTCAGCAGTGCTACTGTACCTGGGCAAATTATTTCACTGCCCCCTAAGACATCCGACCACTTGCGCTTGCCTCCTGCCATTTATTTGTCTTTTAATAAGCATCTGCATTTTCTTCTGTTTAATAAAACAGACTTTTATAAAACAAGAGTGTTTCCAGTATTTTTCTAATGCTGGTTAAGGGCACAGCAGTTTTTACTTCTTTCTTCTTGAGAACCCACTTAGAATCTACACACACCCATCAATCTTTAAAGACAAAAACCAATCCTGTACCATTCATAATTCATTGAGATAAATTTATCTCAGAGGATTTTTTTAAAATAGACTGAAAGAAAAATTTTAAGTACTGTTAAAAAAAAGCAGCACTACTCTGTTAGCCATAGAAATTTAACGTTCCTGTCACACAAATACAACACAGCCATGTATTCTGTAAGACTTGTGCTACGTGTTTTCTAAAATAGATGCTCATTCACAAGAGTGGTTTAAACAAAGGAGATACGGTTACATTAATCACAAGATAAAAATGTAACAGCTTCACTGTTTACTACTAAGTTCCAGTAATACCAGAAGCACTAGGTGCTCTACAAACACACATGAAAATAGGGTACCTGCATCAAAGGGCTCACTGTCTAAGAAAGAACACTAATTTTCTAAGGAACAAAGTCTGCACTGATGGAAACTGCTTTCCAATAGGCATGTTCGTAGAGGTGGCAGTACAGGCATTTGGTCACCCTGCACAGCAAGGCTCCTGCACCTCTCCTCAGATCAATAAAGCTTTGGGCAGCACACACCCCTCTGCTCAGAAGAGTTCACAGCTCAGGCTGCCTCCCCGCTCACCCCTCGGCACGCAGCGCTGCGAGTACACGACCCTCACAAAACTCTCTTCTGTGAAACGCTGGGTGCAAGGTATTTTAATCTTCAGCGGCTGCATTTCCACAGAAGAGCTGTGGATGGCAACAAATTGCTCCTATTATGCAAATAAAACTGCACACTTGGAAATTGCCTATGTGGCCCTTCTGAAGATGCAGGAATTGCTAGTGTGTAAAGTTCAATTTAACAAGCCAAGTCTTCCCAAAACATTTAAACCACAAGACACAGAATCTCTCTTGCTAACTTCCCACTGTACTTGACTGCAGGTAGGGGGGAATCACGAGATTCACCTTCAAATTACGATTCCTTTAAAAATGAGAAAAACAGTTTATGTAAATACTTGAGATTCACACACAAAAAGCCATATCAACACGCCTGGCAATAATCAAAGGAAACATTGCACGATCCTGTACAGGAACCCTTTAAAGCAAGTTGTCTCTCATGAGGGTTAAAATGTACAAAATCTATTTATACCATAAGATTTCTGTTTTATAGAGGAAGCCATAGCAACTGCCATTGATGGCAGAGAGCCCTTGTCAAGAAAAAAAAATGAAAACTTAGACATTTCGTTGAATGGCCAAGCTTCTGCCTCTACTCCTCTCTGAAATCCACGAACTGTGATTCAAAGGAAGTACACTGCACTCATGAATGAAATACCTACAGACAGAACAGTCCCACACATCCAACAACGTTCCTGTTCGAACAAAAGTCCTGTCACATCGCTATACATTGTTCTGACCCTTCAAAGCTGGCCCACCAGTCAGCAAACAGCACTTAAAAATACCACCGGAGTAGAAGAGAGTTCCTGAAACCAACCGAACTGCGGTGCTCGGGCTGCTCCAGCTCCCTACACAATGGCTGGATTCTTTGAAATCCCCATCTCGTGCCCTGCGTTATTGGACACACGTCCCGATTCTTTGTCCAGCTCAAGCCAACGAGCCCATTCATCTGCTCAGGGCCATTTAAATGCAACAATCTGCTTCACCCGAATAACGAACACGTTTAATTCCGTATTTCGCTCTTCTTTTAACGCAAACAAAGCGTTAGCTGTGGACTGCAATAAAAGTGCCCCCTTATTTTACCGGGTTCAAAAAAAGCTGAGTTATGCAGATTAATACCAACTCCAGGGATTCCCCAGTGGATTTCAAACGTTTAAAGGAAGTATTTTAAGACACATGCACAAAGACTACTGAACAGTCAACTTGCTGGAAGAAAGAGATTCCCCCTCGAGTCGCAGTGGCACTGCTCTTTATCCCACCCGAAACCCCCGGACTGACTGTGCAGAACATCGCAGGGACTGTTTTACTGTATTGTTTGAACACCTCACCTTGATTTTCCTAACAAAAGCAGAAGGAAAAGAAAAAAAAAAAAAAGGAAAAAAAAAAAAAGACAAAAGCGGGAAAATGCCAAAACACGTTGAAGGCCTAACAAAAGGGAATTATTTCACTAGGGGTACAACCTTCAATTATATAATTTAAACCAAATTCCAGCGGCAATTAGGCGCTCTCTCCTGCCCAGCCGGAGCGTCGGTGGGAGACGACCCCGCTTACGTGCAAACCCCGGGAACTTGAAAGGTGAGAGAAATTAATAAAAAAATAAACCCTTGAACGCTTCGCAGGGCTTTAAATATGCTTTAAATATATATGTATACTTAAAAACTTCCTTGAGTTCTAGTTCCACACAGACCCGGCGGCGGGGCTCCCCCCAGGCCCGCTCCTCGGGGCCCTTTGTAAGGCAGGGCGGCGGGAGGAGCCGGGCCCGTCCCGTCGCCCGCCCCCGCCCGGCCGGGCCCGGGATCCGCGGTGTGGCGGTCCGGGAGTCGGCGGGGAGCGGCGGGGGGAAGGGGGGGGGGGGGGGGGGAGGGCATGCCCCTTGCCTGCACCTGTGCACACATTCGCACACGCAAACACACACACAGGCAGGCACGCAGGGCTGCAGCCCAGCGGGGAAACACGGAGGGGATCAAGCACTTGGCTCCACTCGCATGCTTACCCTGGAAACAGGCCAAGGACAGCACTGTGTCCACAGGCACCAGGGTCCCTTCCCCTAGCCACGGTCTACTCAGGTGAGACCTTAATTCTACAGGGAAACTCGCAGTGTTGCTGCTG